AATATGCAGATGACATAGTCCTGTTAGGGGAGGATGATGACAAAATCCAGCAGAGTCTTCTGAACACCTTGAGCAGCAATCTTCGTATGTTTGGCATGCGATTCGCCCCTGTGAAATGCAAGATGCTGCTACAGGACTGGACTACGTCAACTCCTAGCTTAGTGATAGGGAGTGAAGTGATAGAACATGTTGACCACTTACTTCACCTATTTGGGAAGTTGTATCAGCACCAACGGATTGATTGGTGACGAAATCTCAGCACAGATCCAAAAAGCTCGAGCTGCTTTCGCTAACTTACACCGTCTCTGGCGTAGGCGTGACATCCAGCTATCACCCAAGGGGCGTGTGTACTGCTCAGAAGTTCGCTCCGTCCTTCTCTGTGGCTCTGAAACATGGCCAATACGAGTTGAAGACATCAAAAGGTTGACTGTTTTTGATCATAGATGTCAACGATCTCTTTCTCACGTTAGGTGGTATAATAAGGTAAGTAATGCTGACCTTAGGCGTAAAGTGTTAGGCAAAGAGGGAAAATCAATCGAAGAGGCTATAAAGTTACATAGATTGAGATGGTTAGGTCAGGTGCTGCGCATGCCTAACCATCGCCTCCCCCCACCCCCAACGGGCATTACTAGCTGATATAGGTAGGTGCAGGTTGGAAAAGAGTAAGTGGTGACCAGACAAAAACATGGCATCAATCCATGAAATCCTTAATAGTTAAACTGAGTCAGGTAGGCAAATGCACACTTCCGGGTTGGGGCCCGCCCTCGGGACTCTAAGAATCAATGGTTTGAGACAATAGGCAATATGGCTCAAAATCGTTGTCAGTGGCGCAGATGTATTCAGTCTCTTTAACCTTTCATATTCTTTTCTACCATTACTCACTCTGTTTCTCTCTTATACTTGTCAAAACTCTATTGATTCTCTTCACTCATCTTCTTGTGTACCTTTGTGTGCTATTTGGAACGTGGCAACTCGAACTGCCGTACTTCGGTTTCAAGTTCTGTGTTGAATCCAGACAGAGACCCTCACAATGACGACCCACTCAAGCAATGGCCTCCTCAGTCTATGCCCGATCCATTTCCATTTTCTCCCATGTATTTGCTGAGCAGTCGGCTCTTGGTCGGTTTATTACCAGCCAGACTTTCTTGTAGTTAATTCTTTCCGGCCAGCTATTTGATCTTCACTAAATAACTATATTAGTGTTACTATGGTTAGGATTATTCCAAGAAACAAAACCTCCACTAAAACAAAATACAAAAACAAAAAGTGGTTACTGACTTACTCTGGATTTAAGTAGTTCCATATACTGGTCAGATAAATCTTCATAGGTACGAATATAATTAAGATTAACTTCATCACTGCATATATCCCATTCCTTTGGCACATCTGGTTTTACATTGATAAGTCGACGGACAACAGGTGAATTTAAATAACTACGTATCATTGTATCGTCTACACATGACTTAGTTAAACGTGTAGTCAAATTACGACGTAGGGCAGAACTGCAAAAGAAAAAGAGATCGATTCACAACAAAGTTAGCTTGTCCCAACAGCAAAAGTCAAGCGTATAACTCATACAAAGAGTAAGATAATTATTATGGATTGGGATGATCACCTTTTGTTATTATTACATTATTGTTTCCTTTAGCTCCTTCCTAGAGGAACATAGGGCTTCAGCCGTGCGTCTCCATTGCGTTCGGTTCTCTGCTAGAGTCTTCACCTGGCTCCAAGTCTGCCTATACGCTGTCATCTCCTCTTCACATGACCTCCTCCAAGTCACCCTTGCACTGACGACCAACTCGCCGCCACTTCCCTTTCGGGTTCCACTCGAGATATGGCTTGTCTAGTGATGTCACTTGATGGTCGGTTTTCTCAGAGTATGGCCAATCCATCTCCATTTCTTCCTGCCTATTTGTTTCACAATCGGTTCCTGCTGTGTTGGTTCGCTCATTGCCAGAGATCCTCTCCTGTTGCTGATCTTTTCTGGCTGGTCATCTGATCTTGAGTAGCATTGAGCGAAGACAACCGTTAATGAAGTTCTGTAGTTTGTTTGAGATGCTCTTTATGACGCGCAGTGCAAGTCTCTGATCCGTACGTATAGTGAGTAGCACTGACTTCACATTGGAGTTGAAAATCCGGATCTTATTTTTGATGCTGAGCAGTGCTGTTGACCTCCACACAGACTTGAGAGTAATGAAAGCCTCTCTTGCTTTTCGGATTCTTGCTTTCATATCCTCGTCAGTCGAGTCTGCCTGTAGTTGAAACGATGCTTTCCAGGTAGGTAAAAGAGGTTGTTTCTTTCAGGTTCCTCCCATTTATGCTGATCGTTGTCTGTTGCTGTTGTTGTTCTTGTCCAGGAATCTTGATTACCTCTGTTTTCTCTATGTTCACCTGAAGTCCTATCTTTGATATGTGTGGGTGGGTACATACTACTGATTGATTGAGACAAGTCGTTGGATACAACCCACGTCAATTTCCTGGAGCTTAATGTACTTCAGTAGAATAATAATAATACGAAGAAACGATGGTAAAGTCGAAAAACTCATGTAGATAAAAAAAGAAACCTGGACCGGATAACAATCTTCACTACAACACCTGCTGCTGTCCCGTAAGCCATATGCGTGGATTAGTAAGGACACTGTAAGACAGAGCCAGAGAAAGTTATGTTCGCCTAAGAAGGTAAAAAATGCCTAAGGGAAAAGGGATATCCAAGGAGATTTATCCAAAAGTACAGTAAAGAAAAGGAAGGACAAGAAAACGAAACACTCAACTGTTGAAAAGAAGAAAGTGTCGATCTGTCTCCCACTCAAAGGGGAAGCAGTATTATAAACAAATTGACAAGAGAATGAGAAAGGAGCAATAAAAACGATGCTTCCCTGCAGTTACGCTGGTGACGCTATACAACACTAAATGCTCGGTAAGTCAATCGGAACTGGATAAGTACCCACCCTGCTGATATCACCTCCAACTGCATTTGCAAATTTACGTGCACCTCTGCGGCAGCAAGTACATTGGAAGAACAGAAAGAAGGGCTTCTATCCGGTTTTCAGAGCATATCTTAAGAAACTAATGTTCTATAAGGAAGCAGATATTCACAAAGTGAAATTACCAGACACCACATGGGTAACTCGTTGAGATTTCCAAAATTGAAGACGTTGGTAGTCTCCTTCATCTGCATTTACTGATGGTTTTTTCAAACCCTCTGTAACGAGAGAAGGCAAGAGTCAGGCAACAGATCGTGTATTGAGAAAATCAACAGATAATTTATAGATTTTTACGTACATTATTATTAGCAGAGAAACAGCGTCTTCCGATGATTGGTTGTTTACTCGCTGAAAGTTATCCTGTCGTCTCTTTGTGACGGTTTCCTTGAAGGTCAGACCACATGTCTGCGAATCGTATTCGCCCACGCTAAGTCTTTGTTCTTGTTTTTTTTCTTCTCATGATCAAGATTTGGGAAGTGAACATTAACGTAAATTGCTGTCTGCCAATTTTGGCTAACACATAGCTCTCACCACCACCACTGTGGTTGTCAATTGGTAGAGTACAAGAAGATGAACAGAATAGGGCCGATATCGCGTTAGGATAAAAAAAACAGTTAAGGATGGTCAAGTCAGAAAATGGTCAGAAGAGATCCATGATATCCTCGACCTGACAGTTTGACCCAACACCCACAAAGTAAAATACTAAGTCGCATCATCCTGGAGAGAATAAAAGATGCACCGGAATCAGAACTCCGCCCTCCCCCCCCCCCCCGCCATCTGAAACAAGCTGGATTCGGGAAAGGCAAATCCTGTGCTGCGAATCGAATTGCGAATCTACGCATCATCATCATCAGCACAGAACAAAGCATAGAATGGTAGTGAAATCTCTACCTTAACTTCATCGACTTCGAAAAGGCCTTCAACAGACAGTGTTTGACCGAGAAGTAATTTGTAAAAAGTGCTTCAACACTACGGCGTGCAGTGCCCAAGTCTTTATCAACCTCATTCAACAAACAAACAAACCAAGAGCCGATCACTCAACAAATATGTAGGAGAAAATAAAGATGGATTGAATACACGTTGAAGAGAGAGTACTGACTGACATCGTACGCCAGTTGGTCTCTCGAGTGGAAAGGATGAGTTAGGTGTTCGAGGGTGACATGGAGGAGATCGTGTGAGGAGTTAAGGCAAGCTTATAAGAAAAACCGTGAAGCTAGCCAAATAAAAGTGATGCTAGAGAACTGAGTAAATTGGAAATGAGCTGTTGAAGCCATCTATGTTCCACTCGTAACCCCAGGGAACTATATATAAATATATACCTATCTGGACTCCTGTGGGAATCTCTTATTACTGTTTCCTCTTGCAAATATTCGCTACCTTTTTTTTTTAATCTTCATGAAGTCTCGACGTTAGCCTGGCTGTCAAAGGTCGGGTATACAGTGTTTCGGTGCAGGCTGTCTTGCTCTACGCCTGTGAAGCCTGGCCTGTCCGAGCTGAGAATGTGCGGCGGTTCTGCGTATTCGATCATCGATGTCTCCGTAGGATTGATTGCGTTCGATGGCATCATCGCGTGAGTAATTCTGAGGTTCGGTGGCGTGTGTTTGAACACAGTGGAGATCACCACTTTATTGAGTGTCGTCATCTGGAAACACTGGCTCCGTGGCGTGCTGCGAATGTCATCTCAGAGGCTTCCGTACCGGTGGTCTCTGTTCGCTAGCCCTGGGACGGGATGGAAAAGGCGGAGAAGTGGTCAGTCCATGACTTGGCGTCGTGGGATGAGGGATATTTGTGCTAGATTAGCATCGGTTGGTGCTTCACGACTCCCTGGTTGGGGTCTGAGAGATAGCTCGAATCGATGGCTCGAAACGTTACCGGATATGGCCAAGAATCGTAATCAATGGCGAACGTGTTGCAATTTGCTTCTTTCTTCCCTTCCCGATGATAGTTGACGAATACTGTTTGAACTTGTTAAGTATGACTGTTTTCCTTCCTGATGATGTTTTTTATCCGTTCTCTACTTATATTTTTACTTTTAATCTATGTTGTTTTATTATTGTTATTGTGTGGCGCATCTTCTTTGTGCCATATTGTACCAAGATTTTTCTTGCGTTTAAATAAAATAACATGAGGTTTCCAAGTTAATTCATGCAAAGTATCTCTCATAGAATTCGGCCTGAACCAATACCAATGACTAGACGCAGCACAACATCGGCTACACTATTCTATTGACCAGTCAGTGTATTCACACCACAATCCAAAGGGAAGTGAATCGTCAGCCCTAATATAACTCAATAGTAACATCTCCAACTGCACCACTTAGTGAGTGACATAAATTAAAATCTCAGAGGGATCTCAGTTCTTTCAAAGGTGGGTGGGTGTGCACAGACGCTTCGATAATAATAAGTGCCACGTAAACACGAACCTTACGTCCAAATGTGTCTTTCATCCAATGGCCTCCAACCAGATCTTAAATTAATTCACTGTGTGTACCATAGTGACTACTAGCCACCTAACTTGGTGGTAGCCTCACTGCACCAAGGAAATTAGATGCATGACATTCGTTACACTTTCTAGTGACTAAACAATGTATCTCTTTTAGTTTCGTTTAACACTTCCCCCCGTTCACCTCTCTATCTCAACTTCATCGACTTTGAAAAGGCCTTCGACAGCGTCGATCGAGAGGTGATTTGGCAACTACTTCGCTACTACCGGGTGCCACCGACAATTATACATCTCGTCCAACAGCTGTACGACAATGCTGCCTACTATCGCCAATGATTTTCCTGATTGCAGTAGACTGGATAATGCGACAAACAGCGGCGGGCAATCAGGAAACAGGCATAAAATGGACTCACACAAAAAAAATCGAGGATCTGAACTTCGCCGATGATATATGTCTGATTTCCCACAAACTGGAAGATATGCAAGCGAAAAGCAACAAGTTGACGATAGAAGAAGCATCAAAGATGGGACTACCTTCAGGTGAACATAGAGAAAACAGAGGTGATGAAGATTCCTGGACAAGAACAACAACAACAGACAACGATCAGCATAAATGGGAGGAACCTGAAAGAAACAACCTCCTTTACCTATCCTGGGAAGCATCGTTTCAACTACAGGCGGACAGAACTCATGAGGATATCAAAGCAAGAATCGGAAAAGCAAGACAAGCTTTCATTACTCTCAAGTCTGTGTGGAGGTCAACAGCACTCAGCATGAAAATGAAAATAAGATCCGGATTTTCAACTCCAATGTGAAGTCAGTCAGTGCTACTATACGGATCAGAGACTTGCACTGCGCGTCATAAAGAGCATCTCAAACAAACTACAGACCTTCATTAACAGTTGTCTTCGCTCAATACACTCAAGATCAGATGGCCGGCCAGAAAAGATCAGCAACAGGGAGGGATCTCTGGCAATGAGCGAACCAACACAGCAGGAACCGATTGTGAAACAAATAGGCAAGAAGAAATGGAGATGGATTGGATTAGCCATACTCTGAGGAAACCATCAAGTGACATCACTAGAGTAGCCATTGCTCGAGTGGAACCCGAAAGGGAAGTGGCGGCGAGTTGGTCGTCAATGCAAGAGTGACTTGGAGGAGGTTATGTGAAGAGGAGATGAAAACGTGTGGGCAGACTTTGAGCGGGGTGAAGACTCTAGCAGAGAACCGAACGCAATGGAGAGGCATGGCTGAAGCCGTATGTTCCTCTAGGAATTAAAGGAAACAATAATAATAATAATAATAATAATAACACTTCCCCCACCTCCCAACACGACAGCAGTATCCGTCACATATTACAACCACCTTCTTCTTCTTAGAGAAATAATAAAAACACACAAATTGTCTTCAAAAAAAGCTAAACATCAGCATACAGACAACACACGCGCGCGCGCAAAATCGCTTACACTCTACTTACTTCACTACTCACTTACTTCATATTTCGACGATTTTTCATATAAATATTATCACGAAACATATTACCAAAGTCATGATGGATATACAGTTTAGAGGATTGTCGAGTAGTAGGGGATATTTCTGTAATGGCCATAGACATACTTGCATCGCCAGCACATTCAGAATATAAATTGTATCTATTTATACCCCTTAAGGGCTCTTCAGCCAACTGACTGATCTATAATTAATAATAATAATAATAATACAATAATTACTAAATTCAATGAAGTACATTCGGCTATGAAATTCACATGCGAAGAGGAATCCCAAGACAGAATTGCCTTCCTCGATGTCCTACTTACAAGCAAAACCAGATGGTAGCATAAAAAGAAATTGGCATAGAAAAAGCACTTGGACAGGACAATATACACACTTTCACAGCTTCGTTCCTATCAATTACAAAAGAAATTTAGTAAAGACCCTCAGCCACAGAGTTAGAGCTATATGCTCTGAAGAAGTAATTGAAGATGAATTAAGCATTGTATATGATACTTTGATCGAAAATAGCTATCCCGAAAAATTTATCAGGAAACATATGACAAAGAAGGCGGAAAAGGACTACTCACTGTCCGTAAACAAGAAGCCACTTTATATACGACTGCAATACAGTGGCGATATAGCAAGCGAAATAATTACGAAGAAATTAAGAAAATCAGTTCAAAGAACTTTTAATGCTGGCGAACTACACGTATTGTTCTTTACACGACCGATGGTGCTACCTCGACTGAAAGATAAAGTACCTAGACTAGCCACTTCAAATTGTATCTATCAATTCAGCTGCGCTTGCGGAGCGAGTTACATTGGCCGTTGCTCTAGGAACTTGATTTTTCGTGCTCGAGAACATATCCCACTATGGCTAAGTAAAGGTGTAGTTAAAACTATTAACAGGTCGATATTAGACCATCTGGTGCAAACCGGTCACAAAGCCAGCGTAGAAGAATCCTTCTCTATAACATACCGGGTGCCTAACAAACTACCAAAATCGTCGAAGCACCGCATGCTCCAAACAGCAGAGGCTATTGCAATTCGCCTCAAACAACCAGTGCTCTGTGTTCAAAAGAAACAAGTCCAGCCCCTACTACTGCCCTGGCCCTCAGTAGAAACTATAAACTCATGAATTTGTACTATTACCTTTCCTAATTCTTCTGACATTCAGCTTATTTTATGTTGATGCTGTTCAGCTGTAATTTATCAATATTATTGATTTGATGTTATTTAAACATTAATGTCGTTCATAAGACTAATTCATTCATTCATTATAATGTATATATAATTGTAGAGCCTGATGATGAATTTATCGAAAAGAGTACTCTTTGTTCCGTGTCCATTCTTTTGAAAATAATAATAATAACAATAATATGAAAATAGTGATTGACAATAATAGTAATATATTTACAAAGTAACTATAATTTAAAACACTGAAACTGAGTGGTCAGTGAGTTTTCAAAGTAGAATCTTTCACAAAAGTTAAGAATTTAAACAGGGTCACACTTCATTTCAACTATACATACATTCAGGTAGAGAATAATAAATAGAAATTCGAAGAAACTACATTAAACGAAGACGTGTTCAAGATCCACATGAAGAATAATGACGATCTCATGAATATTAGATATTATTACAAAGGCTGAATGAATCCGCAGAGTATTGCGAACTACTTCAAGTCATGTCAACACCGATCTCCAGTCATTATGATTCTTAGCACACCCACTCCCGATGGCTGCAATCAGCCAATGGCAACAGTAAAGAATAGATATCACAGTCAAATGACCTTGAGCTAGACAATCATATCCTTCTAGATAAAATGTGCCATTTTAGTATTAAAGGTATATTTACAGCTTATACAGCTTGTGCGTCGGTGGCACAGCAGTTAGGACTCTCACCGACCATGCCCATGGTCTGGGGTTCGATCCCCTGCCGACGCACACCTGATATCAATGGTCGGCCTGCAAAATTTGGGCTACTGATATCACATGCTGAAAATTCCATACTTGTACCAAAAATACTGTGTGGAATCAAGCTATAATAAAAATATAAATATATAATATTATATATATATATGTATATATATATATGAAATATACAGTCCATATGCCTCCAATATGCTGCATATTGGTCCCAATTATATCATTCTAATCTGTTTCTTGATTTGCCAAAAATCCCTCAACAGAATTTGCATAAGTACAGTACATTTAAAAAAAAATAATGTTCAAAGCAGTGTAATAAAAAGGTATTAAACACAACATACAAGAATAACACCAAGTAGGTAAGTATTCATTCAAGATGGTTCTCCTTTTCGTATTAGAATGTAGTGCCTATCTCAACCTTAGAGGAGTTAGTGTTAGGTTACACTTTCCAAATCAAAAATCAACCTCATCGCCACCTTAAAAATCCTGAACAGCGTTCAATAGTTCCTAGTGGAATATAGCCATTTTTCACTCGATTCTCTGATGTCTTTTTCACCTGCCTCCCTCCATGATTGCCTACAAACTTTAATATCCTCCTGACAACACAGGATCTCTCCTTCAATGTCATGCTCAGACCAATGTCCAATTAGTCTTTTCCCATTCACGTTCCACTCAAAAGAGATGACCTGAGATGCGCGATGTCATTCAACCGTTCTCTAGTTTTCTTTGTTCTCTCCTATTTGTCGTCGTTGCGGTAGTAGAAGTTTCCAGATTTCAGGGTGGATAGGTATTGAATCATTCCTGTTACACGTATTTGCAGTTGATTCGATAAACAAAGCTTCCACTGTCATCAATCTTTCCCTCCACTCCGTTATATCAGTTAGATTTTAGAACTATCATCTTATCCCATTCTATTCTGTATGGTTGTGTGTAATTGCATGTAGTGAGTGCTATAGCTGAACTATTCTCTAGATTTCTTATCTTATTCGGGTCAACTAATCTAGATTTTTGCTAGGTTTTTATGCTCGGCTAGTCTGACTGACTCCGTCTTACTACTTTGACGTATGTATTTGACCTGACAATCATTCCAGTAAGGGTATTAGATAAAGTAAATTGTTTTGTGTGATGGGCTCCACAGGATCCTTCAATGACGACATGCATGTCAAACATGTGCAAGATAATGACGACACCAACAATAAGGAATCTAAATCATCAGTAGTAATTCTATACAAAGAAGGAACCTCAGAAACCTTACACAGAATTTTTAACAAGGCAGGAATAAAAGTGGCTGGCATTCAAACTACCCACAAACTCAATTAGAAACAAGCTTTGTCGATTAAAGGATCCTGTGGAGCCTTTAAAACAAAACAATTTAGTTTATCTAATATCCTGCCTGCAATGATTGTCAGGTCAAATACATAGGTCAAAGTAGTAGAACAGGTGCAGTCAGATTAACCGAGCATAAAAACCTACCAAAATCTAGATTAGTTGACCCGAATAAGATAAAAAATCTGGAGAATAGTTCAACTGCAGGATTACACCACATGCAGTTACACACAACCATACAATAGAATGGGATAAGATGACAGTTTTAAAATCTAATGTAACAGAGTGAATGGAGGGAGAGATTGACAACAGAAGCTTTGTTTATCGAATCAACTGCAAACACGTGTAATAGGAATGATTCAACACCTGTCCACTCGGACATCTGGAAAATTCTACTACCCCAACGACGACAAATAGGAGAGAACAAAGAAAACTAGAGAACTCCAGTTTCGAAGTCGTGTGATTATAATTGATATGAGCCACAATAAATTGTGTTCGACACTTTGTCATTCAGTAAATAATACTGTTCCCTCACTGTGTGATACATCTAAGAAACAAACTAATATGGAATTACGTACTACCACAATGCCCAAGTTTTACACACACATATATTAATATGTTCTTGGCTGATTCGGTTCCGGAGCTTCTTGTTACTTGTCATTTGTGGCCAGTTGGCCATCTAACCTTCACAGTCTGGAGCAAGCGAAGGCAGTTGTCTGTAGCAGACTGTTTTGGAAATGCTTTTCGTGGTGCACCCTCTGAGGTATATATTTTCAGTGCTCCATTCTGTTTACGTTTTGTGAGTTAAATACCCAAAAAACCTGTTTTTGAGTGGAACTCCTTCTTTCATGTGAACCGGACTGTAAGGTGGCAGCTGTTGAAAAATCTAGGATTTCTTCCAAATTCTCTTTATTATCATCCGCATATCTACTGTAAAATCCAGAGGTGTTAATCATTTTCGAGTTTCGAAGTGAATAAATCTGAAAGCAATGGGACTTGTGGTTAACCCATAACTATACCATTCTTTTGGCTAAATATTTCATTGCTGATATAGGTTTGGACATTTAGAGTGCATCTCAAAAGGAGTTCCTTTAAATAGTGAGTAGGTATTCTAATGTTTAATCCCTCTGAATCGATGTGGTCACATGTGTAGCATGATGTTTTGATTATTGGGACGTTCGTAAATAATAAGACCAAATCTAGTGAAACATGATCTGATTAGAAATGCTGACGTTTTCAGTGGAATTAACAAAGTCAGAAAGGATCTCAAAGTAAAGGTAGGAACTTTATCTTCTGATTGTTTCCAGAAAGCTTACTAACCATTAGGCGATGCGATGACAAGTTGAATTCGTTACATTAAGAATAAGTAGAAGAGGCATGCCTTTCTTCTTCTGTACTTTCGGCACTCCACACTGTTGGGGTCTATTTAAACCAGGCGGTGTCAGAGATTTAGACATTTCAAAGTTAGTTAATGTTAATTCAGTCTTCGGAAGATGTCAGTCAACTTTTTTTCGGTTCGATCAGTCATATCCTTTTCACTGATCGGTTTCATAAATTTAGATTCGTCCGACAGGATGATTAACATTTTACTGACTTAGCCGTCACGATTTATGAGTACAACTCCTTAATAAGGACGGATCAACATAAACTCTTTATGGTTGATCAACTCTTTCAGCTCTTTATAATTTTTCTTGGTTAATACAGACTGGCTGTTTTGTTTGACATTTGTAAACTTGTGACAGATGTCAAGGACTTCTGATATGAATTGTTGTTGTAAGCCATAATTTTGATTGATCAGGTTTTTGAACTGAACCTTGGTTTGAATATTTGATGACTTGGTGCAAAACTTTGAACCCTCAGATTCTCTGAACTATTTTGAAGCACCGACTTGCCTTGAAGATCTAAATCTTGTTCCTAATGCTGAGTGCTGTGGATCCTACAAGCTGCTTTCAGAGTAGTGAAGGTCTGCTTTTCATGAAGCACTATTGTACCCTTTTTTCTAAATAGATTGTTACTTACGCAAACTCTGATGGCTGGCTGGCATCAACATAGAACTTTGCATAGAAGAATTTCGAGTTGTCACACTTCATGAAGCACACCAAGGAAGAAAAAAGAGATTCGGAAGAACGACAATAAGCAGAAATGTTAGGAAGAAAGAATAGTAACGTAGAAAAAACAATAAGGTGTCGTGGATATGGCAGATCACAGACAGTGAATGCATTTGTGCCAACCATTGACAACGATGATTTTGAACCATATCACCAATTGTCTCCAGCCGCCATCATTGGTTTTTACCATCCCGAGGATCCAAACCAGTCAGGTCAGGAAGTCTACATCTATCTCATTATGTGACTGACTGCCTTAAACTACAACTGTTGTGAATTTCATTGACTGATCACACCATGTTTTGTTTCGATCACCACTAACTAGCTCGTTTCCAACCTGATCCATCCTATATCAGGTAACATAGCCGGTCGAGGAAGACGATCGATGGCTAGGCATATGCGTAACCATCTCAATCGGTGTAACTGCGCACAACCTTTTTGATTGATTTACCTTCCTTACCTATCACTCGACGCCTAACCTGAGTATTACTCGCTCCATTATACCACCTAACACTGGAGATAGACCGTAGACATGTATAATCAAAGACAGCTGGCTGGTTTTTTCATATCTTCTACTATCATTGGTCATGTCTCACAGACATAAAGGAGGAGCTCAGAGCGAACTGGTGAGTATTACACACGTCCTTTGATTGGTCGCTTGAAGGCCACTTTTGCCCTGATTCGATTGGGATACTATTTGCTTTAACTTCGATATTATTTAATGAATAATTAAAAATAACTTACGATACGTTGACATTTTTCAGACTTATTGTCAGTGAATATACACGAGGTTGAGCATTGGTCACTACAGCATTTAGCTAGTAGATCATTCCATGAGCTAAGGAAGAGAAGGATGGATGAAACAAAGAGATAAAATTATAATAAATTTGAGAATTCGAGAAATTCTAAACAAAATTAGTGGTAACCAGAGTGTAACATATGCCATGGCGTGTCTGCTGACTGAAGTCTGTCAAGACATGTTCGACACAGGGGGTTATCAGGAAAGTGTGCCCTCTGAATTGATACTAAGTGGTTGGAGCCAATCTGTAAGTATCCCTTGACTTAGGTTTGTTGCCTTCGGGCGCTAGTCAGGACTACATATGAACAACCTCGTGGAGGCTGATGTTCCATCTGAGTTTCGAACCTGCAATACTGACAGCAATCACGTGACCGAGGTCAGACAGGACTTCCTGTTCATTTCCCTCAAACATCTAACATCAACAGAAAGTGCAACGCTATAGGCAGTCACTAATCTTGGTGGCCACATTAGCCAGCATCAGCACCGAGGACAAGGTATTTGATATTAGCTACCGCCTAATGTGACCCCTACAGGACGTCTGCCATGAGCCTAGATGGTGTAATCGTAACGTCCCTGACTGTAGCACTGAGTAATACAGGTTGAAACCTCATGGTGGGGGGTATTGGTCAGAATCAGTTCCGCCAAGGTTGCAGATATGTCTTGTTGACCAGTACCAATAATATCAAGTAAAGAAGACAGTATTTCTCTGGAACTAGACAACTCAATAAAGTACGAAACACATTTCTGAAGTACACTGTGGATCGTGCTCACATCATGTTATACCTTATTATCAATTTAAGTAGTAGTCTGCTTATGGATAGATCCAGATTGATGGGAAGCCACCAAAAACTGAAATCAACATTTGAAGTCAATGGTTGCAGAGGCAGAAGTGTACACCCGCGCAAATGAGGATTTAGTTTACGTTGTGGACATGAAATAACTCCATTGGATGGCTTGTTCAACCTCGGGCTAATTGCCAACCAATCAGAACAGGGATATTTTTCTGACTTAACCGAACTTTGATGTAATTAAAGTCAATTCCGGACACTCTTATCTCCTGCCGTTAGGAGCTTACACAGGAAAGAATTCGTAAGTCATTTGATTCAAAGTCCATTACCCTGTAACTACGCTGCTATACAGCAAACTACATTGGAAAAATAGTGATTGTAATGATAAACTTCGTGTTTGGAAATGATGGAGAAGATCTTCTGTTCTGGGTGGATGATAATGTTGTGATTTGTAGATCAGGCCGATGATATCATTGTGTAGTTGTGTTTTGTCTGACAACTGGTTGGTTTGTTTTACATGCCCTCTCAACGTCTCCTTCTAGACGAAATCTTCAGCAAAGACTTCCATATGAAGTGAACTTATATTGAATTACCCGTCACTGTGTGGCTAGGTGACTCTGTGAGTTTAATCATCGCTGCCGACACTGACACTGTCATGTATGTAATATTGAGGTCCGTGGTGCGTTTCGACATAGTGATGATCGTCTTTCGATAAATGGTTTCACTGCATGGAAGATTTCATCATGAGCTGACATCAGTTAGAGAACCACTGGAAAACCTGGGAGTACTGGACAGCTGTTTCGTCCTAGGGTGGGACTCTTCATCAGTACGCGCCCGCCGGGGTTCGAACCCAGGACCTTCTGGTTACAAGGCGAGCTCGTAGACCACTGAGCAACTGGGACCGGATCCAATGGTCTTTGAATTCTAATTTCTGCCAATTCACGACATAGCGTGACCATTTCGCAATGTCTTCTTAGATGAGTTACTGCCTCCCCATGCAATCAAACAAAATCCCTACAAAACCAATACTTGAAAATGGTTTCATCTCAGGACTTGTTCGGCGAATGTTATCCCAACGGCTTCCATATTATTATTCATTCTTTCCTAGCCGTGGCACACTCAACCGAAGCTGGTCAGTCCATGATTTAGAATAATGGGATGAACAATAGTTGTGTGTTAGGTTTTCATTTATCGGTGCATCACAACTCCCTGGATCGGGTGGTCTCAATCTGAGACTCGAAGTGTTATAGGATTCACTTGAGAATCGCACACAATCGATGACTGATTTACTTTATTTCCCCCTTCTTTTTCCACACTTTCTCAAAGTAAAATGAGATTTTAAAAAAACGCTCCTTAAACACTATTCACAAGTGTTCTCACCCATTGTTCAATCATTCTACTTCCTCCCCACGTATTCAGATTTTGTGTGACATATTACAACCTCCCCACACCCTGGCACTCATATTGGTATCATGTTTCTGCTGTCGGAGTACAAGCCATAGGAAGTTTATCAAAAGGTTAAAACATTCTCTAATAGAATATGGTATAAAAAAACTCAAAGGAGAAATGCAAACATGAGTGATAAGCATATTTTAGAGACTTAATTCGCCAATCAATCAAAGAAAGAAATTGATGAATTCATTCAAGATTCAAGATATACCACCTTTCACTGATGATATGAGACAACATGTGAAAAGACGACAAATGCGTGGGTGACGACCTCCGTTAAACACATATTATAGAAACGATTAGTATAAAGAGTTCTAGGAACAATGGGTAGTATATCATGAACCCTCAAATATTATACTAATACAATTACCTTAGTATTCCAAGCAAAATACTAAGCCGCATCATCCTGGAGAGAATCAAACAAGCCCTAGATGAAAAACTTCGACCGGAACAGGCTGGATACAGGAGAAACAAGTCATGTATTAATCAGATCGCCACATCGTGGATCATCATTGAACAAAGATTGGAATGGCAGTCACCTCTCCACCTCACTCAACTTCATCGACTTTGAAAAGGCTTTCGACAGCGTCAATCGAGAGGTGCTTTGGCAACTACTTCGCTAATACGGGGTGCCACCGACAATTATACATCTCGTCCAACAGCTGTACGACAATGCTGCATGCCAAGTAATCCATAACGGGAAACTTACGGAATCCTTCGAAGTGAAGACAGGAGTAAGACAAGGCTGCCTACTATCGCCAATGATTTTCCTGATTCCAGTAGACTGCATAATGCGACAGACAGTGGCGGGCAATGAGGAAGCAGGCATAAAATGGACTCACACAAAATACTTGGAGGATCTGGACTTCGCCGATGATATATAATAATAATTATTATTATTATGTCTGATTTCCCACAAACTGGTAGACATGCAAGCGAAAAGCAACAAGTTAGCAGAAGAAGCATCAAAGATAGGACTTCAGGTGAACATAGATAAAACAGAGGTAATCAAGATTCCTGGCCAACGCCAACAGCAGCAACAGCAACAGACAACGATTAGCATAAATGGGAGGAACCTGAAAGAAACAACCTCCTTTACCTACCTGGGAAGCATCGTTTCAACTACAGGCCGACGCAACTGACGAGGATATCAAAGCAAGAATCGGAAAAGCAAGACAAGCTTTCACTACTCTCAAGTCTGTGTGGAGGTCAACAGTACTCAGCATCAAAATGAAAATAAGATCCGGATTTTCAACTCCAATGTGAAGTCAGTGCTACCCACTATAGGTGCAGATCATAGACTTGGCCAGCGCGTCATAAAGAGCATCTCAAACAAACTACAGACCTTCATTAACAGTTGTCTTCGCTCAGTACTCAAGATCAGATGGCCGGCCAGAAAAGATCAGCAACAGAGATCTCTGGCAATGAGCGAACCAACCCAGCAGGAACCGATTGTGAAACAAATAGGCAGGAAGAAATGGAGATGGATTGGCCATACTCTGAGAAAACCAACCATCAAGTGACATCACTAGACAAGCCATTGCTCGAGTGGAACCCGAAATGGGAGCGGCGAGTTGGTCGTCAGTGCAAGGGTGACTTGGCGGAGGTCATGTGAAGAGGAGATGAAAACGTGCGGGCAGACTTGGAGCCAGGTGAAGACTCTAGCAGAGCACGGAACGCAATGGAGACGCATGGCTGAAGCCCAATGTTCCTCTAGGAATTAAAGGAAACAATAATAATATTATAATATTACAAATACCTTTATTTTTATTATTACTATTATTGTAATTAGTGTTATTAGTAGTAGTGTAGTGAGGATTTTTCTGCTAGCCAAAATTGGTAGACACCAATTTACGTCAATGATTACGTCCCGAATCGGAGTCATGGTAAAACCCAAGACCAAAGACTAACTCAACAACCATTCACAGAAGACTTAGCATGTGCAAATACGATTCGCAGATATATATGGTCTGACCTTCACAGAAACGGCCATAAAAAGAAATGACAGAATAACCTTCGGGAGGAAAACAACCAATCAGAAGACGTTGCTTCTTCGCTAACAATAACGCTAATAATAATGTACATAAAAATCTATAAATATCTGTTGATTTTTTCAATAAACGATCTGTTGCCTCGCCCCGAGTCTTCTGTCGTTGCAGTAGTAGTATCATTAGTATTATTATTGTTACTATCATTATTATTAATAGTAGCATTATTATTAGTGTTACTGCTATTATTATTAGTAGTAGTATAATTATTATTATGATTCCCTCTTACCTTACACCGATAAGACCATGATATCTGATAAAATATAAAAAGGAGTTATCATTCAATTTGTAACTGGTCAACCCGTTACCAACTGCAATACCCTAAAATAAAGGAGAGGAGGAAAAAGAAATTAGATGAAAGTAAACGTTAGTGGCTTCATAATAATGACATAAAATTATGTGACTGACTGACTTTCAGCATAACACTTTGAACAGAAATGCAACACTGTTTAATTTATCACACTTTATGTAACACAATACACATAGGTAGAGAGAGAAAGAAAAGAACTCATTTCTGATCAAGAACTCGAACTTAGGACAAAAGTGCCACTTGAAGACATAAGGCTGGGAGTGCAGCTATGTCTGACTTCCACAGTATTTAAAATTCCAGGGGGAAATATACAAACAAACTGAAGGAGTTGCCATGGGATCACCAATATTCCCGGTTGTAGCAGATATATTCATGGATAGGTGGGAAAACATAGCGATTGAAACGTTCAGCCCCATCCCAAAAGTATGGTGCAGGTATATAGAT